TTATTTCTATCACTGTATGTCCCATGTTGCATTTTCCTTAACATAACTTTCCTTGGATCATGCTTCTCACATTCCATGTCCCTATTTTATGTGCTTTGGATAACACATGCCTTCCTAAGGGCTTCTGCTATTTGTCTTGGCATCTTTCTTATGCTTTGGCTAATCTTGCAAATGTGATATCTCTTTATCTCTCTGTCCTTCCCTGTCTGTTAATGCTCTGATCCTTTCTCACCTGGGGTGTCTCATAATAGGGTTTACTAGGTGATGAGGTTACACAAGGAGGGCCACCTACACCTCCCTGTGCACAGTGCCAACCAATGTTATCTATGGTGTCATAATTCACTCCTATCAGTGACACTCACTACTACTGCTGCTGCCCAGTAGCTGTTTGTCTCACTATATTATTCTTCCCAACACATGCATGTCATTCATTGTCCTTATTTTAGAACAGCCCAGACTCTGTCAGCACATTTTACTGACACTTTGTTCTGCTATGCAATGCAAAACAAGCCACCTACTTCTCTTGGTTTCATTATGGTCTTTTGTCTCTGTATTTTGGGAAAATTACAGGTATAGGTGTCTATTAGCTTTAACATACCATTCCCTCCCTATTTTCATTTCCTGAGGACTTTACCACATGAGTCTTGTTCTTGTAGCAATCATGCCAGTTAAAAAAAAACATACTGGATTTTGATCATGTCTTTGCAATTGCATAATTTGGGTTGCTGTTGCCATCAAACTGTTTTCCTGACTCTTCCTCAACACTGTTTCTATGCTTATGCCCTACTCAGCATGCATTAGAAGAGACGCTGACTGATGACCACATGACTGCCAAAATGATAGGTTTCCCCATCAGTGAAAGAGGACACCCTTACTGCACTTCAGGAACCCAGCAGCTACTGGTTGAAAGTGTTGTCAAGTGATAAGTATCACTAAAGCTGCTTTTTTGAGCTATAAGCATGATTTAAAAGCCACATGTACTAGTCTCCTAACTCAAGTACAACACTTGGCTTAAGATTCTATAATTAAATATCATTATGTGAAACTGCTAGAACACTGCTGATTTAAGCTGAATGACTTGAAGTTTACACCAACAAAAATGTACCACTAATCCTTGAAATCTGATTTGCACAGATATTTTAGTGTAGAGTATTTCAAGAGGAAATCAACACAGAAAAGTATGAGGGTATAAAATCTCTTCTATGTATTACCAGGATACAGGGAGAAAGAAACTGTCAAGAAACCAAACACTTCTATAACTCCCTTTGACACTGTTATTAGATATGGAATACATGGCTGCAGTACAAGTTTTCTAAATCATGTATGCACAGCAGATTCACATTTTGAATATTGTATGCATTTCTCCTCATTCTGTCTCTAGAAGAATAAAGTTAGGTACAGAACTAAGGTAAAGTTAGGAACAGAGGCTATAAATAAGTAATATACTGTAGTCCTATATTCAAACATGTCTCTAAGTGACACTTCTACCTATTTTTTTCACAAGTACTACAGTCAGATTTTAGTTCCTGTAGGCACTGCTACTCTTATTTATCTTTTGGTAGCAAGGGGCTATGATTTACTTCTTGCATTACTGTGGCATGGTATGATCAAGAAAGTGCAGAGAGGGAAGGCTTGTTTGATGCCCTCTAGTTGCCTATAGCTTTATTATGACCAAAAGCTGTTACAGCCAGTCAAAGTTTTCTGTGTAGAAACATTTTTTTAGACTTCCTATTTGTTATTGTTGCTCCTGTTGTGTGCCTTCAAGTCTTTCTAACTTATGGCAACCCTAAGGTGAACCTATCACAGGATTTTCTTGGCAAATTTCTTCAGAGGGAAGGTTGTCATTGCCATCCTCAGAGTCTGAGAGAGTTTGACTTGCCCAGGGTCACCTAAAGGGTTTCCATGACCAAGCTGAGATTTGAACCCTGTTCTCCAGAGTCATAATCCAATGCACAAACCACTATGTCACATTAACTCTATAGGCTTCCTATAGATCAGACCTATATACCAAAGTAGTGGAGTAGGCTGTCATTCTATACCTCAGGGTTAAACAACTAAGGCCTCAAACAGATGACCTAAAAGGGCCAATGTCAGGCCACTTTGGGGCCAAGGCATGCACATGATGCATGCTCGAACATGGTTAGAAGCCACCCCAGGCACAGCTCTTTTCTAAGAGCTGGCCCAAAATTGGCCTAAAAAGCCTCTGATTTGGGGACCAATTGAGAACAGCACCAGAAGCCCAAATCAGGCTGGGCACATGCCGCTGCCATAGCCCCAATGTGAATGGGCCCCATGTGGTCCCAGGGCAGCCCTTGGGGGCCATCTCTTTTACTCCTATGGCTATCAAGATATTGTTGGTCTGCAGCTCCTAATATCTTTTGCCATTTGCTATGCTGGATAGAACCAATGAGAACTGCAATTGAACAACATCTGGAAGGAACAGTTGTCCATCCTGCTAAACCCACCCATGCAATTAACTTGTCATGTAAGATTCATGCTTTAAACAAGAAAATTTGATTTTCTGGTACAGCATCTCCAGAAACATAATCAAGGAAAGGATGGCAGAGACTAATATTATATGCTGTTGTTCTTTATGTTAATAGCAATCACCTTCTTCCTGTATTAAATATTACCAGAGTTAATGACTATTTCATTTGAACAGAAATGAGAGTCTTCTTTGCTTGATACATTAGTGAAGAATCCATATGAAAGTACACATAATGTAAGCTACATTTTCATGACCTATTTGTACAAAAATAATAGGAGGGGAAATCCTGTTTTGAGATGAGAGGGTGGTGTTTCTATTTATTTCATTACAAACTAGAGACACCAATCACATCAAACAGAGGTATATGTTAGACAGTAGAAATATATAGTGCTAATTTCCTTTTAGCTTGCGAATGGGAGTAAGCCATTCTAGACCTGGTGTCATTCACTTTGACCAAACACACTGACACATGTTTCATTCTTTTCAGTAATAAGGTATGTCAAAAATGCAATAGCCTCTCTGCCAAGAAAGCTCACAGAGAACCTTGAAAGGGCTGTGACAAGAGGAAAAGTCTAGCCATTAAATTATTTTTAAGAACATTAGTTAAAATGTCAGCCCTGGCTTTTGGAGAGAAAGAAAGCAAGGAGGGATGGGGGAGGAGATGCTGCCAATTCATTAAAAGAATGTGTGTTGTTCCTCAATGTTTGTCAAACAATAACAGAAAACTGATCTTTTTAAGGGCAGCAGGAAAACAGAGAGGCTTGAAATTCATTCCTGAATTCACTGCAGCTCCATTGTCCTTGAACCCTGCCACTTTTAACAGCTAAAACTGTTAACCAGGAGGAAAGTATATCCAAGGATCAATTGAAGGCATTTATAAGCTTTCCATGTAACAGCAAGTTGCTGACCTGATTCTTTAGTTGAGCCCTCTGAATCACAGAGGTAATCAATTTACAGGTCAAGCATGGCTGCCATTTTAGATAGTTCCTTTTCCTATTTCAGTAAAATGGGTCTCGGGAAATTTAACAACGACAAAACTAAACTCCAGATTATGCTGTTCCTGCAAGTATTCCCTCCCCAAGGAATGATGTTTTGCTGCTGGAATCACTATTTTGGACTATAAATCCCTAAATCTCCACAGCCTGTATGACCAAATTGGCTATGGAGTAGGTACTGAGAGTCCTAAATATTAACTTTTTCTAAGATCTACAAATAATATAGTGGGATTTTGCAAAATCTCTTTTCCTTCTTCCCTTCTTTGTCTAAGAATCCTGGCATTAATAAGTTTTATACAGAGACCTTGCAATTTGCCTTACAGAATTTGCCTTCACTGGCCAGAATATTCTGGGCTGCATCCTGAATATCCTGGCCCCAAATTCCAACCAGTACCTGTGCTCTCTCTCCACAGCAATGATGGCCGGCTTCCTTTTCATGCTGCCTGCTGCCTTATCATGCAGTCCTAAGTTTGTTGGCCAGTTTCACTGCTAAGGTCACATGAGGTATCCAGCCATGTTACGGATGCTGGACACCCTGACCGCAGAGTGACTCAAACTTACAATAGCAGCACAGGGCAGCTCACAGGAACCACATGGGAAGGCAAACACCTGTTGTCACTGTGGAGATAGCCAAAAATGATGGATGAGCCATACTCAGATACCCTCCCCCCCCCCTTACACACCTGCTTCAAAAATATGAAGTAGCTGGTGGGATTGTGGTGGTGAAGGCAAGTAGTGAGGATCATCTGTTGATGCCTGCCATCATCATTGACAGATGATCCTCTCTTGGCTTTCTCATCCATCCCAAGACAATGGAAAGGCCATGTAGTGAACAATGAGGGTTAGGGGAAATACAAGCAAGAAGAATAATCTATCAATGGATATCATAGCCAGCGATCAACAATTCTCAGTTGGCTATTCTTCCAGCACACGTGGTATATCCCCATCATCCTCTAGAGCAGTGGTCCCCAAACATTTTGGGGCTATTGCCCCCTTTCCTCTTGAGGAAACCCTAGTGCCCCCACATATATTTCTTGATAATAGGTCTACTGTTCTACTGCACATTTCAAACAACCAATCTTGGTCACTGCTCACTTTGCCACCTAGTCACTCTGGGAGCAGCAACCAAATAGTTCGCTGAGCAGTGACTGAGAAGCTTCTCCCCCATGCCAGCCTTATGGCAGAAGTGTCACTAAGGGACATAGGCGGTGTAGACTGAACCAGATGACACCATAGGTAGGGTGATACCCATCAACTGCCCAAGTAACACCAGTTTTTCTCCCTGAATGTCTGCCTTTGGAAGAAACAGGACATAGCATTAATCTACTTGTAAGAATGAAAGAGTTCAGCAAAAGAGAAGGTATGGCCTTTTCTTTCTCCACCCACATAAAAATCCTTTGATAAAGGAGGAGGAGACATGGTAGGACTTTCTGGTTTCCTCCATGGCATGGCATGGCCCCATCCAGGTATGCCCTGGCCCCATCCATGAGAGAGGGAGAAGCAGGCAGGAGAATAAAGGAGTTAGTGAGTGTGAGGAAGGCTGTTGTCTGCCATTGAAACAAGAGCCTCCAGCTTCAGGAGTGGAGAATAGAAGGGATCAGTGGCTGTGGTGCCATCTGAGCTGGGTGGAGGACTGGTGGAGGACCAAGCCTCCTATAACATCACCTCCCAAAGTGGTCCAGAGACACCCATGACAGCTGTGAAGCCAGGGAGAACTCAGGAGGGCTTAAAACCCCTCCCAGGAAGACCTTGTCCCAGCAACTCAGTGGCTGTGGTGCTATCTGAGCCAGATGGAGGACTGGCAGAGGACCAAGCCTCCTGTAACATCACCTCCCAAGGCAGCCCAGGGACACCCACGACAGCTGTGAAGCCAGGGAGAACTCAGGAGGGCTTAAAACCCCTCCCAAGAAGACCTTGTCCCAGCAACTCAGCAGCTGTGGTGCCATCAGAGCTGTGTGGAGGACTGGTGGAGGACCAAGCCTCCTGTAACATCACCTCCCAA